GAGGTGTTCCTTGGTCACAGAGGTCATACTCTTCATCACATTCCGAGGTGAGATCACTGGTCAGGTTGGTGGCTGGGGCCATCATCCCATCACAGGTTTAGGCATCAGTGAGCCTTCACCTTGTGTAGCCTTTGGAGGCATCCCATCCAGGTCCACCACTCTAAGAGTGGGACCTGACTCTGCCACAGTTAACCACTTCCTCTTCGTCCCCAGAAAATTCAGCAGTACTTGGCTCTTCTCTCCTTCAAAGCCTGAGAATTTCAAGGCCTATCAGGAACTTTTGCGGTGTTTGGTTGTTTTTACTTGGGCATTCAGGCATAGTTCCTGCAGGAGAATACCCATCAGTTATTGGACATCCTGTAGCCGTCTGCCCTGGGAGAGTGGCCTTCTCTATTAACAATGCACTCCTGGAAGTTCTTTGGAGCATGCTGGCTTCAATGCCATCTACTGCAAAGCATTTAGAAACAATGCTTTATACTGGTGCAAGGATTTGAGGGCTTTTACTCCCACCCTGGTCAAAACTTTGGTGAATGATAGAGCTTGGCAGGACAGATTTTAGTCCACCCCTACAGACAAGGACTCTAAGAGGATGGGCTTAATGGGTAGAAAGATCTATACCTCCTCTTCCCTGCAAATGCTGATTGCAAGCTCTCAGGCACTGTTGTCCAAATATGACTTTGTGAATTGGCACGGCTATGTGTAAATTTACAGACCAGCTGCCTGAAGCCTCCAGGAAGGAATTTTGGGTGTTCATCACTGACTGCTGGTTGGTTACAGTCCATGCTAGATGTCATGGATACTTTGGCCTGAGTGATGGCCTCAGCGGTGACCTCGAGAAGGGTGTTCTGGCGGCATGCTTCCAGCAGGCTATAGAGGACCCTGGTATGAGAGCTGGTTTCTCTGTAGGACCTTAACATGGTCCTGGTGGCTTTGATGGAAGCTCTGTTCCAGCCTCCTTCATCTTCTCCCTTCCCCTTTTTGTGTCAGAAACGTGCATTCCTTGTGGTGATAACATACGCAAGGAGGGGCTGTGAGTTGCAAGCTCTGAGAGCATATCCTCCCTATATGCAATTCTCCAAAAACAAATTGACTTAATGACTGCACCTAAAGTGTTTGTCTAAAGTAGTCTCCGTTTTATTTGAACCTGTTGGTATATTTACCTGTGTTCTTTACGAAGCCACATTCATTTCCAGAGGAGCAGCGTCTCCACCCGTTAGAGGTCTGATATCTAACCTTCTACCTGGACAGGACTGAAACATTTCATGCTTTGCCTTGCCTTTGTGTCATATGCGTATTGTATGAAGGGGCAAGTGGTCTCTTCACAAACAAATCTCTAGATGGAAAACAGCCTGCATCAAGACTACATATAAAATACCTTTGACTATGCCTCCTCAGTGGGTGTGAGTTAATTCCAAGAGAGTTAAAGCTCCATCAATAATGTTCCTAAGGGATGGCTCAATACTGGACATTTGCAGGACTGCTATGTGGTCATCGATACATATGTTTATGAACCATTATGCCATACAACATCATCCAAAAACTGTTGCAAACTTTGGGAAGGTGGTTCTGCAATCTTTGTTAGACTCTGAGATCCGCCTCCTGTGGGTCCTGCTTGGCATGAGTCATGTAAGTGGAATACACAGCTGCATCTACTCAAAGAAGAAATGATTACTTACTATAACCGTGGTTCTTCAAAATATGATGCAGATGTGCATTCCACAACTCACCCTTTGTCCCCTCTGCATTGGAGTCTAATCTCAGGGCGTGCGGTATGAAGGGACTAAATTGGGGTCAAGGCAGAGCTGCCTCATATATAGGGCCCTACCAAATTCCTGGCCATGAAAAATGCGTCACAGACCGTGAAATCTGGTCTCTCCCAGTGAAATCTGATCTTGTGTGCTTTTACTCTATACTATACAGATTTCACGGGGGAGACCAGTGTTTCTCAAATTGGGGATCCTGACCCAAAAGGGAGTTGCGGGGGAGGAGGGGTCACAAGTTTATATTGGGGGGTCATAGTATTGCCATCCTTACTTCTGCGCTGCCTTCAGAGCTGGGCGGCTGGAGAGAGAGGCAGCTGTTAACTGAGGGGCCCAGCTCTGCAGGCAAAACTACAGAAGTAAGGATGGCAATAACATATCACGCCATCCTTACTTCTGCGCTGCTGCTGGCGGCGGCTCTGCCTTCAGAGCTGGGCTCCAGGCCAGCAGCCGCTGCTCTCCAGCTGTCCAGCTCTGCAGGCAGCACAGCCGCCAGCATCAGCACAGAAATAAGGGTAGCAGTACCGCAACTGCCCCCCCACCCCCATAACCTTGAGACCCCGCCACAACTCCTTTTTAGGTCAGGACCCCTACACTTACAACATCCTGAAATTTCAGATTTAAATAGGTGAAATCATGAAATTTACTATTTTAAAAATCCTATGACCGTGAAATTGACCCAAATGGACCGTGAATTTGGTAAGGCCCTACTCATATAGCCATGAGGCACAATCCCTGCCTCCTGTGAGTACTGCAAGGCAAAATTCTCTGGTTCCCGTGCACTGGGCACACACACCTAAGTGGAATAAATGTCTGCCTCACAGCTCGAAGAACCAGTTACAGTAAGTAACCATCTCTTCTCATGAAAGGAGGCCATGTTATAACAGTAATGGAATGTGTACTGCCCAATTCAGCATAAAACTGCAGCTAAGGAAGAGCTGTTCATGATGATTTGCAAGCTATATTTTTGCAGTTTAAGGCAAGAATACAGAAAACTATTTACCATCTAGGCTGTTCATTTACAAGAGCGTAGGGATTCTGCACCAAACCCCTTCATGAAAAGCATAGGACAGATCCCCCAGAACCTGAACTTGCCATTCCACTGCGTCACCCTCTCTGAGCTACTGGCCCAGATGTGGAGCAGAGCTGGCAGCCATAAATGGGGTGCAGGCTGGGATCCATAGGAGAAAACATTGTGGATTCTTAACCATCCACAGGTTTCCCAGTCCGTCTCCTGCCTTTGTGACACTGCTGCATATTGTATTCCCCACACCCAACATCTCAGGTCCTCTTCACAATGTTGCCTGTAATCACCTACAATGTTTTAAGACATGTAAGTCCTGACTGGCCTTGAAGGGAAATGTGCTGTACCAAGTGGCCATTCCTATGACTCTTCCTCCCCTCCTCCTTCCCTAGTCCCATCCCTTGCCTAGGGAAACAGGGTCTATTGCAGCAACTGTGAAAAGTTTGCTGCATAAAGAAGAGGAAATACACCACAACCACCTTTCCCCTGAACACACCTTGCTTCACTCCACTCCCTGTGATATTCGGATCTTGCAGATTTCTGCCTAAGCAGGAAGGGAGCATTTAGCTCTTTAAAAATGGAGTCTGTGTCTACCTTTAAATAAAATAATTGCAAGCAGCCAGAGTTGGCAATTGGAAAGTCAGCTGCATTGGGGTGCTGACTCATAATGGGACTAGATACCATCTCAGCAGCAGCTTGGAAAAATGTTTTCATTGTGTTGGTGCAGTGAACACAAAATATTTATTCTTTGAGCATATTCACAGCAGTGTTTTCAACTGGAACTAAGGGTCAGGTCATGTGTTTTTATGATGGCAATGATTTGTATAGTGCCAAAGATGTGCACCGTTCTTTATCGTTGTAAAAATAAGACAAGGTTCCAGCCCTGTAGATCTCACAATCTAATGTATAAAAACAAAACAATGGCACAATCAGTAAAAATATCAAATCATAAGGTGGGGAGTATTGGGGAAGAGGGAGGTCATGACAAGGGGACAGGGTCAGAATTCTCTGGAGAGAGGAGCTTTTAACTTGATCGCTTGCATATGTAGGGTTACAATCAAATAAGTTATTAATTTTTAAAGTTTTATTTATTATTACTATTCAGATTAGAAGTTAGCTGAAAGTGGGGGGACTTGGGGGAAATCTAGAAATATGTCATTTCCCTGTGCTCCATAACAGGAAGAGTAAAAAATTATGATTTGAAGTTGTGTGTGCATGGTGCTGTGCAGACAAATAATAAACTGGATCCCTGACCTGAGGAGCTTATTGTGCAAGGCCTGACCCTGCAAACATTACCACGTGGTACTTATTACCATAGGCATCAACAGGACTATTCATGGTTGTAAGTACTACTTCCAGTAGTGTTTGCAGGATAGGGTCTAAGTGTAGCCATAACACTACTAGTGATGACGACACAAAAGGAGGGACATTGAGGGAAGGTAAGTTGAAGGTTACAATAATACATAATTTTGTGGCTGCTCTGGGTTGCTATGTACTTCTTTTGTTGGTCCATAGTTTGGTTGTGTTTAGAAAATGATTATGGCCCTGATCCAGGAAAACACTTAAACACATGCTTAACTTTAAGCATATGAATAGTCCTGTTGACTTCAAAAGAATTGCTCACATGCTTAAAGTTAAGATCCTGCTTTAATTGCTTTGCTGGATCAGGGCCTATATAAATTTATTTGTTAAAAGATTTAAAAGATGACTAGGAGGGATATTGGGGATGAGAAGAGAAGATGACTGCAGAAGCAGAGTGGAATAACGGGTGATGGATTTGAGGCAAGCACAAGAAATTGGAGATGAGTGAAAGAAGAGAATAGGAGGAAGAGGGTGAAGACAAGGATCAGGGAAGGAGATGATAGTTTGACCACAATGAATCAGAAACAATTGGTGAAGTCAGGCTCAATCATTGGGCAGTCATGAGAGCAGTAAGAGCAGCTGGCTGCAAAGGTACCACCCTGATGCCCTTCTGTTGGTGGGGGCTACTGGCTAAGCCTGGGGATTGTTACTTATTTAGAAATTGTAATGATGTCCATTGCCTCAGCACCGGGGCCCCTTATATCACTGGAAACAGCCCTTTACAAAGAAATAGTCCTACAAAAGAAAAAATATCATAACAGGCATCTCACCCGCCCACATCTGTTAAGCATTCTGGTGGGGTCAATCAAGAACTTGTTCTAGCCCCTAAGTTTTACACCATGACTGAAGCTTACCAAATTTGGGTTCTGATGGACCTCTGGAGGGAGCAATTTCCGGATGTGTGACCCTCCATTGAAAACACATGGTCTCTCCTCTTGCAGTGTTTAACCTCAGAAATAGTCAGCAAGAGCAACCAAGAGGATCTTAGCCCCCGTGATGGTACAAAGGGAGAGCAGCACAAGCTGGTCACCTAACAGTTCTCCTCACTACTTAGTCCTTTATAGATATGGAGGTTACACTTTGAAGAGGGAATACCATTGGCTGTTGCAGTCTTGTGGAAATCTATTGGGATACAAAGAACATTTCAGTTAATGAGCTAATGAAAACAAGAGATTCAGAGTGAGGTAGGGTTGTCTAATGGTTAGAGCATTAGCTTGGGATTTGAGAGTTCCTTGAGTGGTTACAGACATGTATTCCACTCAACTGCACATGTGCCCAGTGCACTGAGACCAGAGGGCTTTCTGTAGCAGAACCCATCAGGGTGACACATACACCCTGCACCTCCTCATAGCCTCTCCCAAGACTACATAAGGGCATCGCTGCCCCAATCCTCCTCAGTTCCTTCTCAACACCTATGGCCTGAGTCAAAGTTCAGTGTGAGGTTTACCTTGAGGTTACTGCATCAGTGAGTTTTCTCCCTGCCTTTTTTGTGAGTAGCTAGTAATTAGCAGTTAGTACCCAGTAGCTAGTTCATTTCATATGAAGCCCTGTGGTATGTTCTCACCAGGCTTTAAGCACTGCCTGTCATGTGGGGCGGCTATCCCAAATAATGACCCCCAAATGCACTGCCTTGTGTGTCTAGGCGATGGACACAGTAAAGAGAGGTGCAGTATCTGCCATTTTTTCAACAAAAGAATGCAGATAGCCAGATATCTGAATCTTAAATAGCACCTCATGCAGAAGGTGATGAGGCCCACTTCAGCCCCAGGGCCTTCGTCAGATTGTCTGGCCCCTCAGGCAGCTGCTGAGGTTATGGTAGTTTCTGATAGGCCTCATGACTAAGACTCTTCTTGGAGAAAAAGGCTGATCTTCCTCCCTGGGGCCTCCATGAATGAGGACCCCCATAAAACCAACCAGAACCATTCCAGATTGAGGAGAGACTCTCTCTTCTTCCTCCAAAGAAGGGCTCAAAACATCACCGGGACTCCTCAGATACTCAGGATAGACAGGTCGTTATGGCCCAGTACCTACTGGCCTCCTGTCTCCAAGGTCCTGATCATAGGCACACTTGAGGGGAAGATCACCAGACTGTTCGGCTAGTTGACTTCTATAGCCTCCTACATTGGGGGCACCTGCAGATGTTGTTCTCACTGAGCCATTATCAGAGGACCAGGTCCTACCGCAGGAGGATCCATTGGCTCCTGTTGCTTTGTCATCCTCCTGACCAGATGATTCATTGGATCCAGATTCTTCCTCCCCTATTCTCGAATAGTTTAAGTCCTATCAAGATCACCTAAGCTAAGTTTGTCTAAGAGAACACAGACAAGCTCTAGACATTCTTCAGTTGTCAGCACCTGGGAGGGTTGCCCTCCCTGCAAATGAGGCTCTCTTGGAGCCAGCAAAGACCTTGCGATGCACACCAATCTCCTTAGCTCCTACAAGTAAGACAAACATTACTACGTCCTCATACAAAGCTTTGAATGTATTTATTCCCACCTGGTCAAAACCCCCTTGTGGTCACCGTCACCAGTGAGAGGTTGCAACAGGGCAAGTTCAAATTAACACCCAAAGAAAAGGAAGCCAAGAGGCTTGATTTGCTGTGGAGAAAGATTTATTTTGTCTTGTCTCTCCAGATGTGCATAGCTAATCACAGGTTCTTTTATAAAAGAATGACTTTGTAAACTGGATCACGTCTAAATTCACTGAAAAACTCCCTGAAGATGCAAAGGAAGAGTTTAAGGCTTTCCTGGCAGAAGGTCTCTAGCAGCCACATCAGTGATCCAGTTGGCACTTGACACAGCAGATGTTTCTTCTAGGGTACGGCCTCTGCAATAACAACTAGAAGAACCTCTTGGTCACAAAAATTCCAGTATAGCCTCTGACATCCAACACACTATATCCTTTGGATGGTCAGTTTCTGTTCTCTGAAAAAAATGAAGAGATTTTACACTCATTTAAGGACTCCCGTGCTACACTCTGTTTGTTAGGAGACTATACACCAGCCACCAAGAGATGGGAGGACAGGGCCCAGGAATCATAGCATCATCAACGGTATTACAGGCAAGCAGTATTACAACAGTACTACAGGCAACCTCTTTCCAAAGAGGAGACATAAATCAGAGGAAGAGACTGTCTGGCTTCAACTCCAACCAGCCAACTTGTCCTTAGTTATCCTTTGGTAAGCAATCCTTTTGACTTACGCCTTGAGGACAGCAGTCAAGTTACTGGCAATCTTCCTGTCATTTCTCTCCCATTTGGGACCAGATTGTCCCACTTTCTCAATTCTTGGGAAGCCATAACAATGGACAAGTAGGTCTTAAGCACTATGCAACTGGATACTCTATCCAGTTTTTCTTTAATCTCCTCTACTTGCCCACCTGTTCCATCCCTTTTCAGGTGCCCTCTCATGAGTTGCTGCTTCCACAAAAAGTTCAGACTCTACCTGCTTTAGGGGCCATAGAAGAAGTCCCCCTTCAACATCAGGGCAAGGGGTTTTACTCATGGTACTTTCTGAGACCCATACTCAACCTTCAGAATCTCAACAAATGCATCAAATATATCAGATTTCATATAGTCATCCTAGTGACAATCCTTTCCTCGCTAGATTGAAATAATTAGTTTGGTGCCCTGGATCTTCACAACACTTATTTCCATGTGGCAGTATTGCCAAGCCACTGGAAGTGCCTGATATTCATGGTTGCAGTACTCCCGTTCAGCTTGTCCTCAGCCCTGCCTGAATTCACCAAATGCTGGGCAGAGGTGGTGCCTATTTGCGGAGGGAGGGGATTCATTCTTCCCTCTACCTTGACAACTAGCTAGTGGTGAGGCAGATCTGAAGGCCAGGTTCTCCGCCACATCCAGTTCTTGTATTCTGATATGGGACTCCCTTAATCTCTCATGTTGAAGTTGTTCCACTGTGTATAAATAGAGTCACTGGAGCAGAGAGACTGAATCCTAGGTCTCCTACTTCCCAGGTGGGAGGTAGGTGCCCTAACCACCAAACTGTAGAGTCACTCTCTCTCTCTTTTTGCCCAGGATTCTAGGTATTTATCCAAAGTGGAGAGATTAAGGGAGCTCCACATCAGAATATCCCATAGCTCAGTGGTTCGAGAACCCTCCCGAAAGGTGGGAGACCACTGTTCAAATATTTTCTGCCTCAGACAGAGAGGGGAATTGAGTGTAGATCTCCCACATCCCAGGTGAGTAGTTCTAACCACTTGGCTTGAAAGTGGTAAGGTGGTCACCATTCCCACCCAGATTTTGATTGAGACCCAATCTGGCAGGAGTGCTTAGAGGCCATCTACCAGATTGGGTCTCACAGGTGAGATTCACACTCTTCTGCCTACCTTCCCCCAGTTCGTGGATCGCACTGGAGCTAAAGTGGGAGATAGGCATCTGGATTTCTAGACTAAGGCAGAGACAGAAACTCAGGCGATCAGAGAACTTCTATAGCAAAAATGTAGCCACTGCGTGTAGGCACCTACAGGATAAGGTGGCAGCTGAGTGAGAGTTTTGTGGATCACAGTGGTGCCCAAAACTGGGATTTACCTTTGAGTACATTTGTGGATCTGGGCCTCAGTTCCCAATCTATAAAAAATTGAGATAATACTTCCCTACCTCACATGGAGTTGTGAGGTACTCAGATACTATGGTAATGGGGGCCATATAAATACCTTAGATAGATAGATAGCAAGTATTCCTATTAACCATACACTTTAATACTAAAGAAGGAGATAAAGTATTTTATAGATCACCACCCTGTTATTAGACTCTGACTTGAAGTAACGATTTACATATAGGATCACTGCTGAAGTAGATTACTGCTCTGGCCCCCCAAGTTTAGAGTTTCCTCCTAAACAATTCAGAAATATATTCAAAACTGATCATTTTCAAAGAATTAGCGTATGACTTTCTGATAAAAGCACAGTACACAAATTAGTACGCATGCATGTTCACTGGCTGTGAAATTGTGAACCACAATGTAGGCTTGTATTTATTTATTTTAAATGTTTTTAGCTCTAGTGGTTGTGAAAATAACTTTAGAAACATAAACTAATGCAGTGGTATGGGCTGGCGTCTACAGAGAGCCTTAAATAATATTTTTTATTTCTGTAATAGGTATTAACTCCCCTCTCCTTCCCCCCACGAACACCACCACCTATTCTGAGCTCTAGGTGACTTTGCCAAAAGTTAAAAATACAGTCAAAATAAAATTAAAACCAGCAGCTTCTTTACCTTCATAAGTTAAAATAATAATAACCAGTAACCAACTACAGAAACACCAAAGCCAAACCAACCTCCTTCCTTCATAAATAGCCCTTATTGTATCCCTGTCTCTCCAAAGGAGTCTTGCAGTAAGTATGCCATGAAGGATACCATAGCTGGAACTCCCTCCCTCAACCCAAAATAGCGAAAATCAGAGGGCCCTTCATGGAGACTGCCCTGTCAGCAGCTTCTTCTCTTATACTAAAGAGACTCTTGCTTGAGCACCTTCACTGATCACAACCGTGGCAATATGGCACAGGGAGCGAGGTAGTCTCTCAGTTAGGCTAGTACAAAGCTCTGAGAGCTGTGAAACAAACCACTTACCTCCATAGACCATTTTAGTGGCTTTAAGTGGTTCCTCCCTGTCAACCTTGGAAAGACTCACGCTCCAGAGCCCGAACTACATACTTCTCTCAGAGTACAGTAACTCCCCACTTAACGTCCTCTCGTCCCTGCTCAATTACAGAACATGCTCCATTTAAAATTGTGCAATGCTTCGGTATAACGTCGTTTGGCTGCCTGCTTTGTCCACAGCTGGCAGCCCCCCTGTCAGCTCCCCTACACACACATCCACAGTGCCTCCCACCCGCCGGCAGACCCCGCAGATCAGCGCCTTCCCCCTCCTCCCCCTGCCTCCGGCAATCAGCTGACTTGCGGTGTTCAGGAGGGAGGAGTGAGGACTTGGCGCGCAGGTTCCCCCTCCCTCCTGAACGCCGCAAACCAGCTGATTGCTGCGGGCAGGAGGGAGGGGAGAGGAGGGGGGGAAGAAGAGGCAGGTTAAGGGTGGGGACTTGGGGGAAGGGGTGGCATGGGCGGGCCGAGGGTTGAGCCCCCACGCCCCTTGCAGAGTAGGGGAAGCTGCCGCTGCTGCTGGGCAATGTGCTTCTCCTAGCCTACAGCAGCTTCAGCCTCCTTGACTGCCTCATTGTCTCCAGTGCCAGTGGGCTGTACCTGTGTAGGGTAAGGTGGGGGCATCTCCCAACTATAGTACTGTACGGCAAAAAAAAATTTCCCTGGAACATTTACATTCATTCTTATGGGGAAATTGGATTCACTTAACATAGTTTCACTTAACATTGTAGTTATGTTCCTGAAAAATGCGACTTTAAGTGAGGAGTTACTGTAATTTTACCAAGGTTATGGATGAGTCAGTATTGGGCTTGACACTAAAAGCATGCATTTTTCACCCAACTATCTTTATAATGTAGCCTTGCAAACTTGTCACGAACGTCCATCAGTCTAGGTATCAAATATCTTCTCACCCACCTTTCTCCTGGATGATGATGATGATCAAGAAAAAAAATGGTTTAATCAAAAAATATACCTAAGTAAAGGAATCCAATCATTTTAGGCTTTAAAATCAAATGGTTTGTTTGTACAGTGCCTAGCACAATGGGGTCCTGGTCCATGAATAGGGCTCCCAGGCTCTATGGTAATAAATAATATTTGGCAAATAGTAAATTTGTTGAATTTAAGCCAGATTTGGCCAGTTGTGGAGCAATACTTGTTTTACCTCATTTATTTGGTACTCAAAATATTTGCTGAAGTACAAAAGTGAAAAATTAAGAGCCTATGGGTTATTCACAAAGGGCTATATTCTCTGAGCACTCTGGCCTCAGTCCAGCAAGGCACTGAAGAAAGGGCTTAGCTTTAATATAAATAATCTCATTGACTTCAGTGGGTCAGGATGAAGCCTTGGGTAGGCTAGACTCACAGGTAAAGGACCCTCTTCCCTTGCCCATTTTGAACATCACAGTATTTTTGGAGTCCACGATAAGTATAATTTAAATCGGTTTGTCACACAACCCTGTGTGTTGGCTTGCACTGCAAATAGCAATTTAAACCTCTGCCTGTCATCTTCCTGCTACAGTTCCCTGTCAGCTAGTTTGCCTACTCCCCATGCTATAGTAAGAAACAAGGTCCATTTATGTAGGTTTAAAGAGGAAGAGGAGCAGGCTTCAGACTCAAGAGCATTGAGCTGAGCATGTGTGTGTACCTACAGTGTATATTTTTAAGGATATACAGTACAGACATATAAGAAGGGGACACGTAAAATCTGAAACAGGTTTTAATATTAGGCAACTGTGACGGTTCTTGAGGTACCCAGGACTGTAAATCACTTTGTTACCCCACCCCCACCTTGAGTGAGAGGGAGACTTACTTGTGCTTAACAGGGTATCAGTGACCTGTCACCATCAGCACAGGCACAGACTTTCCAATGTGCCAGGGGGTGCTCGACCCCCGGCTCTGCCCCCAGGCCCCCCCCTCACTCCACTCCTTCCCCCAAAGCCCCACCCACCTCTTTCTGCCCCCTCCCCTGAACACACTATGTTCTTGCTCCTTCCCCCTCCCCCCGCACTGCCGCAAAACACCTGATTGCAGCAGGCGGGAGGTGTGGGGAGGGAGGGGGAGACGCTGATGGGCAGTGGGTGGGAGGCACTGGAGGGAGGGGGAGGTTCTGATTGGGGGCTGCCAGTGGGTGCTCAGCACTGACCATTTTTTCCCTGGGTGCTTCAACCCTGGAGCACCCACGGAGTCGGCGCCTATGACCATCAGCCTGTTAGTCACCCAAACACTCCCCTCTGGACTATGTCAGTCCTTATTTTGCCTTGCAAGTTAACAATAGGTATACTCCAGCCCCGAGACCCTTTGAAACATTCCCTTGTAGTGTCCAACTGCATATCCACTGAACACTCACCGAAATACTTGGTGTGCTGTCCCTAAGGGAACAGTGTACATACCACCTTGTATGATTCAACTCAGGATCAGCATTGAACAAGAAGTTAATGATCAAAGATTCAAGAGATAGTGAGTAAGGATAATGGAATAAAGTATAAAAGCTGTTTATCTGGCACTTCACCAACCAGAAAGCTCTATAAACCGACATTTCTAATCTTCATTGAAATTCCGGTTTATAGTCCGTTTGGCGTGGGGCCGGCAGTGGGTTGGGGTGTGGGAGAGGGTGTGGAGCATGGGCTCTGGGAGAGAGTTTGGGTGCAGGAGGTGGTTGGGGGCAGCGGGTTGGGGTGCGGGGTGCCAGATTCAGGGGGCATTCACCTTGGGTGGCTCCCCACAAGCGGCAACCTGTCCTGGCTGCTCCTAGGTGGAGGCATAGCAGGCGGCTCTGCGCACTGCCTCTGCCCGCAGGCACCGCCCCCACAGCTCCCATTGGCCATGGTTCCCAGCCAATGGGAGCTCCAGAGCTAATACTTGGAGCAGAGCGGGGGCAGCGCGTGAAGCCGCCTAGGAGCAGCCGGGACAGGTCGCCACTGGGGAGCTGCCTGACGTGAGCGCCCCCCGGATCCGGCACCCCACACTTCCTCCCGCTTCCCCAAGCCCCCTCCCGCACCCAACTCCCTTCTTCTTTGTTAAACGGCAGTTTTCACTTACTGGCACCACCCATTCCCGCAACATGCTGGATAAACCAGCTTTTTACATATAAAAATCATAACATGTTTTCTAAAGACTAAACTTAGCCTGTTAAACTAACTGTCTGTCTAAAGAAGTTTATCTCACCCAAAACCTTTTGCAGCATTTTCCACTGAGGTAGGCAGAGATCCAATTTTCATGAATGTAAACACACTGCCTGTTTACTTTCCAGTTGGAGGATCAAAGGGTGTCTTTTTGCCTTCTTATAGCCCCAAAGTTCATTGTCTGTACTGAGTCAGGATAATTCCCATGGTGGTGAGCTGCTGCCCTTTTGATTTCATCTCCCCCTGTTTACTTCATATGTAGCCATTGTATTATCTTACAATGCTTTATTCACATGCTGACAGAGACAAATGAATAAACATCTTTCCTCAGACACAAAACATGTTTTTTGCAGTGTTGTAGTCATGTTGGTCCCAGGATATTAGAGAGACAAGGTGAGTGAAATAATATCTCTTATTGGACCAACTTCTGTTGGTGAAAGAGACCCGAAGAAGAGCTCGATGTAGTTCAAAGATATCACCCCCTTTGTCTCTCTAGAAGACCTGTTTGTCAATTCTGCCTTGATACGGTCTTTAAAACACATTTTCGGTATATGTACATAGCTCTTTATGTAGTATTTGTACAAATATTTCCCGGTGATAATGGTGACCAGCACGCATGATGCTGGCTTTCATTTAAAATATCATATGACATTCTTTGATGAAACAGAATGTACAGGATATTCTTGTAACTCCCTTGCCAGTTGGCATTGAGAGTTTTTTGGGTCACAGTAATATTCCTACATTTGTAGACGTATGTAATGTGTATTATAGCATCAGGTATCTTAGCCAGATACCTCTAGCTCTCTCCCCACAAATATATAACCTTTGCAATTCAGCCTTGAAATATGTACTCAACAACAATTTCACCAGGTGTTAGCATGGACTAATTTATTACTAGCAAAACAGGTCAAAAATGGTTTCCATTTTATATATTGTAGACATGTTCACCAAAAGCATTACATTTTTATTATGTATGGGTTGGAAGATGCCAAAATTTTCTGGCTCAAAATGCAAGTTTTGTGGTTAACTCACTGGCACAATGCTGTAAGGATATTCTACCTTTGTGCGAGATAATTGGTCAAGAGTCCTGAAGTTAGCCTTTCTGTTAAGGATCAGTTACTGTTCCCATTGAAGTCAGTAGCAAAACTCCCAGTGACTTCAGGAGGAGGATCAATTCTCTGAGATTCTCAACAATAGAACTGTAGGGAAAATATAGCAAAAATGCTTCAGAATAGTAAGTTCTCCATTTCATCCAGTTTCCTCATTCCTGACTCTGAGCTTGCTATCCACATATGATTGATGATGATTTAATTGTTCACAATGGGCTAAATTCTTTATTACACCCCTACATTCCACTGAAACTAATAGAGATCCACAGATGTAATTGAAGGCACAATGTAGCCTACTGTTTTAATATATTAACTGCTTAAATTAATATTATATCTATTATTAAGGATAAGGATGGCAGAACAGCTGCAGCTGGGAGACTATTTAATGCTGGTAAACTGGGAAAGGATTCCCCACACAACCAATTCTACTTGGGACTGCAGGTGGATACAAACTTCTACTGATGTGTCAAGTCAGATGGAGAAAAAACCCTTTCAGGGAACCCTTCCTCCACAAAGAAATTATTTAAAATGTGCTGTTTCTAAGAGGCCCAGCAACCATAGTATATAAGTGCCAAATACAGTAATTAAGATTGGCATCATGTTATCAATGTCAGACTTTATTGTGAATTCCTTTTTTATTTTTTTCCCTTTCTCTGGCCTTGGGCACTTTGCTTCCTAATTTGTGTGTGCGCACACGCGATTTCCTTGTCTTTGGCTATGGTGGGAGCAGGTGGGTTTTCCATTATGCTCTGAAGACTGTTGAGCTTGTCCTTAAATTTCTCTCGTCTGAAAGGCCAGAATTTCTCAAACCTTTGAAAGCTAAATCACCCTTCAGGAAAATGAAACCAATTGTGCACCTCTTCAGCCCTGCTGTATGTTAGTAAATGCATACATATCTTAATTTACACATTTTCTGTGCCCTTACCCCAGCTAGGTCTTTGTGCCCCCTGGAGGGATGTGCCCTGCACTTTAGGAAATGGTATTCTGTTCTATATACTATTCTAGATAGGTTCTTATATCATGCTCATCGCCATAGTATCTGAGGCACAGGCTCTGAGTTTCCAATGTGCTGAGGGGGAAGGGTGCTGTCCTCCCAGCTCTGCCCCAGGCCCTGCCCCCACTCCACCCCTTCCCCCAAGACTCCACCCTCACACATCCCCGCCCCGCTTCTTCCCACCCCATTCCTCCCCCTCCCCTGAGTGCACTGCGTCCTTGGCTCCTCCTCCCCCCAGAGCCTCCTGCAGACTGCAAAACAGCTGATTGCAGCGGGCAGGAGGCGCAGGGAGGGAGAGGTTCTGATAGGAGGCTGCCAGTGGGTGCTCAGCAACCACCATTTTTTTCCCCGTGGGTGCTCCAGCCCTGGAGCACCCATGGAATCGGCACCTATGATCTGAGGGCTTTCCAGTAAGTGAATCAAACAACATGATTGCATATATGTTACTTGTTGTTTATTCTCTCATCTTCTCTCCAGGGGAAGAGTCATGTGCAGTGCAGGGTCTTGTATTGATAAGGTTTCTTTAAAAAAAAAAATTGTTGCTACGAGTTTGTTACAGACAGCAAAGCGAAAGAAATGCACCTTGCATTTAGAGCAGAAAGAGGTAAGGTTTGTGATGGCCATTTATTCTTGGTAATGTAGGTCATTTCACAGTTGTAGACTCTCACAAGCGTTGTCCTCCAGCATGATTAGCTGCATTGTTCCAGAAGAGCACAGCTGTCGCTGTGGGTCAAGAATGGAGAGGTCCAACCCATTGAGGACCTTTCAGATTAATTCAATGCTCTGTTCTCCACTTGCTCACTTCTGGTGTTGAGGGCATGGAGCATTGATGTGTGCAGTGTTCTCAGGGATTTGTTCTGGTAACAGGTTGGGATGCTGCGTTCTATACACACTGGAATGTCTGGTTTGCCACCACCTTCACACACACACAGTAAATAACAATAATTATAGCATCTAATGTTTAAAAAGCCCTTTAAGACTAGAGAAAATTTTATTACATCCCCTCCAGATAGGAGAAGGAAAACAGCTGAATGCAGTATTTTGGATGAGACATCCCCTTCCTTACTGATTTGTTTGGAGCTGGTGCAGAATGTCATCACTCCATGGGTCTCTGGGATTCCCAATCAGTGGTCACCTCCTGCTCCTACCCAGTGGCTTGCTACTAACCGAATGGAGAGACCATGAAGCCTGAAACTACATCAGGCAGGCCTCTCCCAGGGTCTTATTGGAGAAACACCAGGACCTCTGATAGGTGAGGGCTTCCTACTTAAACTCAAAAAGAAACACAGAAAGTTGTCCACACATCTGGACTCTACCTGCCTGCTACATTGGACCCTGCCTTCTCACCTGACTCCTGGTTACTGCTTCCCTACCTTGTTTCTGCTTTCCTGACCTTTTCCAGGTTCTTGATCCTTGCTCCCACTCTCAAATTCCAACTCTGACCCTTGGCTCAACTCATGATTCTGATTCTGGCTCTGATCCTTGACTCGACTCCCAATTCTGACTCCTGCTCCAACTACTAGACCCGGCGCCTATATCCCAGCCCCAACAGTTTGTGCATACCACTACTCTAAGAGTTAGCCTAGGAAAGGTATATGGAATGAGCCAATTGGCCAATCTCGGCTCCAAGAAGAACCAGGCTTGGCCGAGTGGGCAGTCTGCCTCCAGGCTGCCAACCAAGCACAACAGGGTTAAGCTGCGCAATTGCTGAGAACCAACCGTTGCAGGAGCAGGCGAGCCAGCACTGCACTGAGAATACAATGCTGTGGGCACAACCTGCAAAATCCACTCCAAGTAGCGTCCCTGCGTATCCTTTGCCAGAATGGTTTGATGGTAATCATCAGTGTTTCAAGGAATTTGTGAATCAGTAGCACCTTCAGTTCTAACTCTGTCCCCAGACATACCCTTCTGACCATGCCAAGGTAGGCTTGGTAATTAGTCCACTGTCTGGGGAAGCATTGGATTGGGCCTGGCCTTGCTGGAAGGCAACAACCTGATACTGTCAAACGGGGACCCTTTTCTTCAGTTGATATCAATGTATAGGGCCCTACCAAATTTGTGGCCATGAAAAATGCACCATGGACCGTGAAAGCTGCTCTCCCTGGGAAATCTGGACTTTTGTGTACAGAGATCCTTTATTAGAAACTCTTCCTGCATACTTCCTGCACAGCTGTTCTCTGCAAAAATCACCCAGACATCTCCACTCCAGGGTTTTAGTGGTGTTGAGGAGCACGTGTCCAGCCCTTTGTACTCGGGTGGATTGCAAATGTGTGTGCCCAAAGTTCATTGTACAGTTACATGCAGTTCCCATTTTTGTATGGGGATGGGGAAGGATCCACATTGTGGTGCTAACCTCAGCATCACTACATCCAGTGCACCAGGCTGCTAATAAACTATGAAAATCAGTTCTACACAATTCACACTCTAGCAAACAAGTAGGAGACTTTATTCATAGTTCAGCGAGCAGATCTAACCCTTTTTCTTTTCTGACCGCTTTAATCTTTTTGTATTTCAGGAGCAAGACTAATTAAACCAGAAACAAGGAATAAGAATGTTTTAAATTAAATCTGCTTAAACAAATTGCTACATAAGAATATTATTTTGGGCTGCTTATATGACTAGAAAAACTAAAATATGCATTGTTGCATTCTGAAGAGAATAGCTGTTAAATACTCCAGTTGTGTAAGACTATAATTGTAGCATGTAACGTTAGCAAATGGTGGGAAAATTACCATTTGTAACTATTCGTGCATTCAAGATGGTTGTGCCTTGATTTGCATTTAGATGGGAATTCCTTCTTGTGGCTCTCCAATCTATTAGGCTTCAGAAAGCAAGGGTTATTTTTTCTTCTTTGAAGTACTTGCAAGGACATTAAACTTTACTGTTAAATTATCAGTTGTACAACTGGCTCCCCAAGCATAACGGGAACACTAATGTCAATGCCTTTTCTGCTAAGGAAGAAATGAGTAGTGGAAATGCTTTAAGACAAACATCTTTTGATGCATGTCTGGGAATGCACATTTTTTTAATGAACGACAGCTAAGACTTTTCTCGCAATACTTTAGTAAATTTGTTTCATGCAGACTTGTAGTTTGCAACAAAGTTTTTCTGAGTCTTTACCCAGTCATTGCAGATTAATATGTAACCTTTTGTATTACTCAAACACAACTTGCTTTAGAGTATTTTAATTTAAAATGGAAGTTGGTTCTCTGGGAAAAAGGCAAACAAAGATGTGTTTATTTGTAGAAGGTGATTTAACCCACTCTTATGTAGGAAACACTCAGATTATTCAATTAGAATTTACATACTAAGCCTAAAAATTTGTTTCTAGAGATGATCCAAAAGTATATAAATTGCCCTAAACTTGGAGAGTTTAGATAAAATGGGGCCCAAAGCCAACACCATCCCTGGTGGTGTTTCCGGGCAAAAACAGAAGAAATGAGCTCTTGCCAAAACCTCCCCCAGTTTTATCCCATCTCTTTGATATTAATGTGTTGGACGATGTAGACATTGGGGAGCATATATTGTAAATTTACTTATTTTAATAGTCAGCTCTATTTTGTAATATAGACACTGTGCTGCACCTAGTTCAAAAACTGTAATCTGCAAAACATCAAGAATCCTCTGTTAGAAGTCCTTATGAGACCTGGCAACCACTAGAATAATCACATGGGGTGAAATCCTAGTCCCATTAAGGCCAGTGGGATTTTTGCCACTGACTCCAATGGGTTCAAGTTTAACAGAAAAAGCTTTACCAAGAAAACTACTCATGGCATCATTCTGACACAAACTAGAACTGTTTTCAGCCTTTTAAGAATATTCCTAGATTCATAAACTTTAACAGAGTTATTCCAGTTTTACACCACTGTAAATGGTATCAGAATCTGGTCTCTAGTGATTACTCTACATTCCTCTGCATCAGGGCCCTAATTCAGCAGTCCATCCTTTTTCAGAAAAACATGGAAATACCCGCTGAACTTTAGGCATGTGCTTAAGCATGCATTTAAACTGAATGTGCTTAAATGCATTCCTGAATATGGATGGATTTAAGAATTTTTTAATGCTTTGCTGAATTGTGGCTTGGGTGTACCCTCATCTCCTATGAAAAGCAAATAAATGTTATCCATATGTCCCTATGGATTATCAACTGCTCACTTAGTCCCTGATTCTGAAATCAAATGTGCATAGGCAGATCATTATATACAACCAGAGTCCCATGGGAGATGAAATGATGGAGCTAGTTCTTCATGCCAAGTTCCCAGTTGTTAGTTGTAAGTACGCTGGGATCCTTATATCTGTGCAGAAGCAGTCTCTTGGCGTATGAGAAAAGTAACTGATGGATAATTTATTAAAATTGGACATCAACTTTTGAAAAGCAATTAAATTAAGTAAAAGGATTAGTTCTGATTTTTAAATTAATTGGGATGTACTGTTTGGTTATATTTATTGGCTACATGCTAATGGCTAAAAGCGTATATTGGTTTGAGTAGAAACACCTATTTTTCCATGTGATTATTAAAGTGATTAAGAGCTGTAAATGTAAGAGTGTAAATATCACTAATATGTTTTAGTTTATTAATATGGAGAGATGAGTCATCTCGTAATAGTTCAGATGAAGCAAGCCGTCTATTATAAGGCTGATGTTCAGCCTCCTCTAATGTGGCAAAAAAACCAAAAACCAATTGAAATTTGACAGGCTGCATCCTGTTATGAAAGAGAATTTTTAAGCCTTTTGCAAAATAAAAAAACAACGAACATTTTGAAGTTTTTTGGGTTCATATTTTTGGACTGGTTGAACTTCTTAAAAATCCTTTTCATGTTTTTATATCTGTGTGTATACACACTGATAATTAAGAGTTCAGACTTACCTCAAAATGGTAATAAGAGCATAAGAACGGCCATACTGGGTCAGACCAAAGGTCTGTCTAGCCCAGTATCCTGTCTTTTGACAGTGGCCAATGCCAGGTGCCCCAGAGGGAATGAATAGAACAAGTAATCATCAAGTGATCCATCCCCTGTGACTCATTCCCCTCATGACCTGCATGAAGGCCAAGAAAATCTGGAAGGCTCCAATGGGCCGGCGTGATAATGAATGTGAAAGGATAGTTGGTAGGGAGGAATATGGTGGATACGTTAACTTTCCATTTCCACACTCTAACATTTAGATTTTTTTTTATACATATGATGGATTGCTTTATATATTAAGTCTGAAATTGTCACTCATATATTTAGGGCCTAAGCCACACCCAAAACCATTACTGAAATCAATTAGATTTTGGGCAATAAAGAATGCAGCTTTGGGCCTATTTGGTGTTTTGGTTTTACCTTTCAATATGTCTGTCTCAGAACTCCTAGGATCCCCTATTTTGCTTCCCAACTCAGACCCCATATAGCATTTGCTACCCAAGCAGGACTGGATGGGACTTCTTCAGAGCCAGTGAGTGATCTTGAATTAAGGGGACACTGTTTAGCAGCATTAGGTACTTGCTCCTTCCTTTCCTGTTTCCACCATACTTAACATTGGACCTCCATCATGCTTACATGGGGCATGAAATTGTGAATGAAAACAGTGTTTCCTGCATAGCAATACATAGGGCTGTTTGGCCGAGCACAGGCCTGGGAGCCAAGAACTCTCCAATTCTAATCCCAGCCCTTTCATTAATTTCCTCTATGGTCTTTTGCAAATCAGACCCTCCCTGCTTCAATTTCCTCATCTGAGAAGTTGGGATAATACTTAGTTATATGAATCACAGAAGTGCTTGGGGAATTAATTAATGTGTGTAAAGTGCTATGGAGATGAAAATGTTAAATGTTGTTTTAATATATAAGTGTATATAAAATCCAGGGGATGGATTTCTCCCCTTCAGAATATGAGTAATTCCCATTCATTTTAATGTTAAAATGTTAGGGAAAGAACACAGCGATAAAAAGTGAGCAATTTTCTACTATGATTTAAGCTCTCCCCTTCCCAAAATTCGTTTATATCACATTTTTTATGAGTTTTACTAATCTACTAACCTTCAGTTGTTTGTTTTACTTTGCCTCCATAAAGATTGCTAGCAGAGCTGTATTAAGATTCTGTCTGTGTCAACATTCTGGTTGTAAACCCGTTTTTAAGACATTAATAACTTCTGAGCTGTGACCTAACATAGAAGGAAAATGCTCAGACAATTTTCAAAAATATATATTTTCAAAAATAAACCAACCATTTACTATTTCATTGTGGTGGAAAAATAACTGTTTTGTTTTGCAATAATGGATAACAAATGTTTTATGAAATTACAGTATATCAGAAAGAAACCAGTACGTATGGCAGGAGCACTGTTCCTTTACACAATAAAAACAGATCAAAGTAAAGGGGCTGCAGCATAATGAAGAATCTGGCTCACAGCATCTAAAGTTTTAAATTATTTTGAACACTGTTGGTTTAAAACCCAAATGTGTTAACATTGTAATAGCTTTAAACCTTGTCTAGATTAGGATTAAAGATGTAGTAGTAGGCATCCTTCAGTCTTGAGAGACCATGGGTATGTGCCCCTGAGAGGTAAAGAATTTACTCAGTTGGTTTTATGGCAGCTGTGACAGAAGAGATCCACTCAAGAGAGAGAGACATGTTCTAACATATTTGAAAAGTCAAATGCGGACCAGGCACACACTGCCTTTGTTATGTGATTAGCCTATGGGGAGCCTAGGCTCTAACTCAGTAATCTTAATGCATGTTCAAGTACACACTGCCTTGCCTACAGTAGACTTCAAACATGTTATCTAACCCATTCTAACATCATACCTTTAACTCCTAGTCTAGACAAGGCCTTAGTATATTAATACATACTATATATTAGTATAAACTAGCATATACTATACCAAGTATATTCTAAAGGAGCTATTAGAAACCTTTTGTGACAGCAAATCAAATAGTCTAAATACACAGATGTTCCAACATTATGCCATATCATATCAATGTAATGGGGGTTACAGCCTGTCTGGAGTAGGACAGATTTTTCTCCTAGACCTTAATAACTCATCCTATTGTGCTGACGTAGTTTATTGATCTCAGAATATTAGCATGCCAGTATACTGCTAGGCTAGCTCACAGGGGGTGAGTGAAAGATGGAGTTTCCATTGCAAGGATGGAGATTCTCAGTTTCCATTGCATTTATGAGCAGTACAGAGGCAATTATAGCACAGTGATGTTTTGGTAAAGCAGCCATCTGCAATGTAGCATTACGTACACTAGCAAATATTACTAGAGGTTAATAATTATCTTTAAATTACACTGAATTTGTCTTAATATTCTCAGCTTGGATACAGTTTTCCCCACAAAAAAATTAACACTCTGATCCTGCAGGGAGGCTTGTGAGGTTTGCTGGCATAGAGCTTATGGCTTGATTTGGGCCTAAAATGTCTTTTTATGGCGTATTATGTACTTTAGCAGGTAAAATACATTGTGTACTTTCAGGGTGTATGTGTTAAATTTAAGCTACAAACAACATATGCATTTTTTTTAAATGTTGGGTATTTAGTAGCTTATTGTGTGGTGTTAAAAAAGAAACACAATTTTAAAATCTGGCATAATTTTTTTCCCAATCAAACATCTGTTCATAGTTTAATAGATCCATAGATTCCAAAGCCAGAAGGGAGTACTGTGATCATTTAGCCCTGTATAACAGAGGCCATAGAACAGGGGTCGGCAACCTTTCAGAAGTGGTGTGCCGAGTCTTCATTTTTTCACTCTAATTGAAAGGTTTCGTGTGCCAGTAATACATTTTAACATTTTTAGAAGGTCTCTTTCTATAAGTCTATATTATATAACTAAACTATTGTTGTATGTAAAGTAAATAAGGTTTTTAAAATGTTTAAGAAGCTTCATTTAAAATTAAATTAAAATGCAGAGCCCCCCCAGACCAGTGGCCAGGACCCGAGCAGTCTGAGTGCTGCTGAAAATCAGCTCATGTGCCGCCTTTGGCACGTGTGCCATAGGTTGCCTACCCCTGCCATAGAACTTCCCAAAAAATAATTCCTAGAGCATATATTTTTGGAAAAACATCAATCTTGATTTAAAGTTATCAGTGATGGAGAATCCACCATGATCCTTGCTAAGTTGTTCTGATGGTTAATTCTTCTCACTGTTAAAAATGTAAGCCTTATTTTCAGTCTGAATTTGTCTAGCTTCAGCTTCTGGCCATTGGATCATTTTACACCTTTCTCTACTAGATTGAAGAGCCCACTATTAAATATTTGTTTTCTGTGTAGATACTAACAGACTCTAATCAAGTCACCCCTGAACCTTCTTTTTGTTAAGCTAAATAGATTGAGCTTCTTTCAGTCTATCATGATAAGGCATGTTTTCTAATTCTTTAATTATTCCTATGGCTCTTCTCTGAATCCTCCCCAATTTATCTATATCCTTCTTGAATTGGACACCAGAACTGGACACAATATTCCAGGAGTGGTTACACCAGTTCTAAGCACACAGATAAAATAACCTCTCAACTCCTACTTGAAATTCTCCTATTAATGCATCCACGGATGGCACTAGCCCTGTGGCCACACTGGGAGCTCATGTTCAGCTAATTATCCACCACTACCCCCAAATCGTTTTCAATCACTGCTTCCCAAGACAGTGTCCCCCATCATAGAAGTATGGCCTACATTTCTTTATTCCTAGATATATACATTTATATTTAGCCCTATTAAAATGCATATTGTGTGCTTGCACCCAGCTTATCAAGCGATCCAGTTCACTCTTTATCAGTGACCTGTCCTCGTTATCTATTGTTTCCCTAATTTTTGTGTCATCTACAGACTTTATCAGTGATGATTTTATGTTTTCTTCCAGGTCATTAATAAAAATATTGCTATAGCTTAGGGCCAAGAACCAATCCCCATAGGACCTCGCTAGAAACATACCCTATGATATTGCTATGACAATTTATACCCAGTTATATATAACTTTCATCCTTTTTAATTAAAAAATAAACCAGATTTCTGTAATTAATTCTCTGATCCTGCAAACACATGCTTTATTACTATTTTAGTCACACCAGTATTAATTTTTCTCCTGAAAGGTATATATTCTTTATTGGAAGTTTTACTTTCATAGTAGGGCCACCACCTGTCCAGGTTTTCCCAGGATATTTTTTTTTTGAGGTAGTCTAGGAAGTCTGCAAGGGTGCTCAGTGTTCAACGTCAGCTGCCCAGTTTTATTGGCTCAGGATCATCCCAGCTGTCTTGTTTTTTTGTAACTCAGAGATGGCAACCTTATTTCACAGTCTTTTCTCCAAGGTAAATATTTTTGTTAAGATACATGTCAGAGGTGTTCCTCATTCTGATAAGTTTACTTTTTGTTCTTCCAAACAGAGGTGTCATTTGCTATGTGACAGTGGAGTAGGTGCCTTCCTTGACCTTGCGCCTCCCCCCAGAATTTTCACAGCTCCTCACCAGCTGGAGTTGTGATAGCTTCCCGCAGAACTGCAGGGGCCACCATAGGCACTGGGTTATATTTGTTTGAGTTAGGGTGACACCTTGATGGTTTTGGGGTTCTTTTTTAAACTAACAAACAAAAGAATTTGGTAAGAAGCACATTTTACCCTGATTGATATCAAGACAATTGATATAAAGGAAAATTGTATAGGGGGGGTTAAGCACAGCTCAAATAAAAGATATAATTAAAATGCTGTGGATGTTCTGAAGTATTGCTACTTAGTGTATTCAGTATTGGTGGTTTATATGGCTGATCAGCTACAATATTCATTGAGGTATACATTAACAATATTTTGCCATTACAAAAAACAACACACAAGTTGTTTGGAGTTAAACTTGACACGGTGTCCTCATGGTGGTCTTTCTTATGACCAAGAATTGGACACTCCTACTTCCTGAGCAAGTGAGGGTTCATATTAATATCCACTGGAAGGGATTTGTTTAGGGGTAGAAAGCAGTCACCCAGCCCCCCGGATGATCTTATTTTCCTTGTTTGGAGCTGCCATGCAGAATTGTGCTAGAATTGTTAAGGTTCTGTACTCCCTTCTCAACCCTTAATTCTCACTAACACACGTGTTGTGGTGTTCTCTATTTTTTGTGCATATTATTCTGCTGGAAAGCAAGAAATATTGAATGCCTTAGTCCTCTGTCTACCTTCTCCTTGGAAGACTTCCTCACCTTCAGAAGCCAGTGCCTGTGCGCCAAACAAACCTTACTTAGTATTCTCTACATGGTTGCTATGACTCCTTTGAAGCACCACGCTCTGCATCATGGGGCATTTCTAACGTCCACTAGCATCTGCTGCCACAGCTCAGCAAAGGACAGAAAACCTACTTCTAAGGAGAAGGAATGCTTCCTTTGAAGCCCTGCAGACAAATAAGTCAGTAGCTGTCCAAGGAAAAGGCAATTAAATAAGAGGGTAGAGATGAAACAGTGACAACCATTAAGAACTAAACTGGAAACTCCCCAGGAAGAGGCAGAAGGGATTAGGTAACAAGAACTCAATCCCCCTGGACCTGTCTCTGCCAATTGCTAGCAATCAGATTTTGGGCCACAAAAAGTATATGCTAGTTCAGAAGGTTGATAATGTAAACTTTACATTACTCTGTCTCAGCCAATGTGATTTATGCTGAACATTTCTAAAGCATCCACACTTTAGTGACTAGCAACTTCAGGCTATTCATTTTTAAGTTATAGACTATAAGGCCAGAAAGGCTCATTATGGTCATCTAGTCTATCCTCCTGCATAATAAAAGCCGTATACTTTCACTCATGAATTCTTGCCTCAGGACCATAACTTCTGATTGAGTACCAGAGCATTTAATTTAGAAATGATATCCAATCTGGATTTAAAGACGTCAAAGGATGAAGAATCTATCTCATCCCTTGGTAAACTATTCCAGTGGGTAACTACCCTTACTTTAAAAAATGTGTACTTTATATGGACAGACTTAGAAAAGTGGAGGTCAAATAAGAACCTTAAAATATTTTACTCCTGGTCGTTAACATGGAAAAGATCTGCTGTATTTAAACAAGCTATAGCACCTGTGTAGCAGAAACCAATCAAGAAAATGGAATGCTTACTTTAGAGCAGGGTGTCCAAACTTTGCCCAACAGTACCGTAACTTGCTAGGAGCATGAAGACTACTCCACTTGTTCCATCTCTCCAAAATCCAGTCCCCACACTCCTTACAGCTTCATTTACCATAGCATCTCTGTCTAATGAGTACAGAATAAGACAGATGACACTAACCTTTATCTTTACTTCAGAGAAATGGGGCCTGCACAGACAACAGTCTGACATGCAGTGCAACCCGGCCCCTCACATCAAACTGGACCACTGCATGCTGGGACTTGCTGAAAGTTATGGGCCCCTTATCATGCTGGGTCTGACTCTTGTGTGTCTCTCAGTGCCACAGCCAGGCTGGGACCCTCACTGTCCTGGGAGGCTGGGGCTACAGTAGGTGTGGGAGGCATGTTGTGGGACGTGGTGGGTGGAGGATGGGGGTCTCCAGGCACAGCAGGACCTATGACAAGCCTGGGAGGGTGGGGACTGCAGCAGGGACTGGTCTGCACGACAGCCTGAGAAATACACGCCTCGTGAAGGTGGCCCACCCGTGCCAGTGGGGAGGTTAGATCCAGCCTCCCCTGCTAGACAGCAGTGGGACTGGCTGCTCGCGGCCGCCTTTTAGCAGGTGAATACATCGGACACTACCAACACCGGCTGACGGGGGAAAGGTTTCCTCCTCTCAGGTTACCTTACCCCGACCCTGGGAAGAATGGCAGGAAGCTTAACAGCCCGCCCTCGCCTTGCAGGATGGCCAGGGAAAGGTGGATGGCTTGACCCGGAGTGCAGGTAGCAATAGCACAGTCACCGCACTCCCCCCGTGTGAATGGTAGTTACCTTCCCTCCTGTGCAGAGCAGCCGGCTTGATTGCAGCAAAACGGAATGTTCCAAATTCCAGTCAGGCCCCAGAAAGGGGGGCCGTGAGGGGGAAGGGATGGAACTTCCTCACCGAAAGGTTCTTTTGGCTGCCGGTGGAAGCTAACGGACGTAAACGGCGGCTCGCTGACTTGAAAGATGCTGGGGAGACGCGAGACCTCCCACGTCACAGGCCTGCGACCTCTCTGAAGGGCAGAGCCCTACCCGGCCTGAGTGTAAAGGGTTAATGGGCTGGGCGCAGCCGCCGGGGGGAGGAAGAGGTCCCGCCTCCTCCCCTCCCCCAGGGTGTGTAGGAGACAGCACAAATCGAGCCCCGTCAGGCTGAGGGGCAGCCCCCTCCATCATCCGCATACGGACTCAGGCTAGCAGCCACCCCCTGCGTCCGCCCGGCGGCCACTCCCCTCCCTCAGACCGGCTCAGCCTCTGCCACGCCGGGCTGCGCCCGATGCCGCCGCGGGTCCGGTAGGTCCGCGCCTGGATGCTGATCCCCTTCTCCGCTTTCCCCCTTCCGCAGGCGGCGGCAGCGGCAGCAGCTGCGGCGGCTCCGGCTTCTCCTCAGCCCCCGGCCGCCTCCGAAGGGATGCTGGAGAAACTAGAGCTCGACGATGAAGGTAAGTCGGAGGCGCCTGCCGCGGAGCAGCGACTGACAGACGCTCCCCTAGCTCCGGGCACTGCTGCCCGCTACAGGCTCCGGGGCTCGCTCCTGGGGGGAGCCGCACGGGGATGCCAGCATCCCGGGGGGGGGGGAGCCCAGACAGACAGACAGACAGACAGACAGACAGACGCCCGCCCGCTGGGGGCTGCCCCGCACCCTGCTGCCTGCGCCCTTGGAAAGGGGCGAGGCGGGTCGCGGGGCTACAGCCGACCCTGCCCCCAGACTCGGCCCAGCCCGTGCGCGGCGATCGCTGCGTACGGACCCGTCCCGTGTGTTCCGTTCACACGCTGGGCGCTTCCCAGCAGATGACCACTCAGGCGGGCAAATGCCGCTCTTCGTCACCCTCTCCTGTGGTGGGATCCTTGATCTGTTTTTCCAGTTATCGTTGAGCCCAGTTCGGGGGGGGGGAACCTTGGCACCCCTGGGTTGTTTTTTTGCTTTTAAAGAACTTTTGTGTCTCCTGTTGATAACATGTACTGTAGACCTTGACCTCTAGATCTAAATGACAGCTGAAAGATGACAAATTTGGGAATATTGTACCAGATGTGGGCGTGTATTAGAAAAAGTCAGTGTTCGCAGAACAGACTTATCTCTGCCAGCTTTTCTTTGATGTTGCTTCCTATTCATCTCCTAATTAGATGACTGACAAATAGTTAACTCGGGTAGGAGATGAGCTTCTGACTTATTTATACATGTCTTGCAGGCACTACACTGTTTTGTAAAGGAGTTTATTCTCCTCCATAATTTTGAACAGATCTATAAGCGTGTGCCTTTTTGAAGGGGAGTGTGTTGAAAACTTAAGGTAGTAGTTTTTAGACATGATTGCCCTTTCATAGAATGGCCATAGAAATCTAATTTTCATGTTTAATATTTTAAAGTAGCTAAAACTTCATAGGCTTTTTATTTGCAGCACTTGTAGTAATCTATCTTTAAAAACTTTGAAAATAATAGGCTGAGTCGTTATAGTAAAAAAAAAATTCATAATCCAGCATGCTAATCAGATGTTCTTTTTGATAGCTATTCCTTTCTGTAACTGATATTGCTGTTTGAATGTAACTAGCCACAAACCTCCATTTTAAATTCCTTTATGACATTTAAAGGTTTTTCTTGAGTCTTACTGATTTGACGGCTTGTCTAAGAGCCTCTTGCTCTATAACTTTTAAAGCAAAGGTAGGCCAGTCAGATAGACTCAGGCTTTTTTTGTCTTGGTGAATCCTCACCAGAACAATAAAATCTGCAGCTTCAGTGTGACTTATTTAACATGAATGTTTGATGTAAGGAATTCAGTCTCTAATTTATACTATCCTTCCCCAATTTAACACCAAAAATTTCTGACCACATCTGCACCTTTCATGTACTCAATTGACTTCCTCTTATCTTCAAGTTGGAGAGTTAAACCATGACATGCAGAGTCTGTCCTAAATTTATCTTACTGATCTGCTACAAACATTCAGTTTTGGGGAAATGTAAATAAATTGCTTTTACAATTTTTTAATGTCTACTTTAATAGTAGTGCTTCATAACATGCTGAGGTGGATGTCTGGTCTAAACAAAAACTCTCATTTACACAAGATGGTATAGATTACTGTGATAGAATAATTTGTTTTCCAGTGCACGTCAGATTATAAAATATGAATTCACTGCCAATCATTCTCACTATTCTCAAAATTGTGTACCATTGTGGTATTTCTTGAAATTTTATTTTCCTCCATCAAACTGAAGTGATGTATGTGGCTCTTCTTTTGCGTTGGTATATAAGTTTGAGTGTTTTGCTTTGTTTTAATTTGTTGTATATTGGTTTTGGAATATGTCAGAGTAAGCATGTTCCTCCGTTGGTGGACAGTACGCTTAATAGCAAACCCTGGCCCCGTTCAGAGGCATTTGCCATCTTTGTAGGGAATCCATCTAATGTTTGTCTGGAAGGATAGTGATCAAAACATGGGCATTAAGAATGCTATATAAATAAAATAGGTGGCAGGATGTGCAGTGTATTTCAGTGGAGATCATTTTGATAAAATGAACAGCCCATGCACTAGAGCAAAACTTATTTCATTGTCACAATATGTCTTCATATGTGAAGTCAATACGTAGAGAAACCCAAAGACAGTGGGATGCAGATGGAAATGTTCTGTGTGTGTGTGTGTGTATATATATATAATTAATTAATTCATTGTTTTACCTCAAACTTGCTCTTGTTGCTATGTTTGCAGTTGTACTAATGTTAGGGAAGGGAGGAGAGAAAATTAGTTCTGGTTATTTGGTAGATGAGATGTGTTGGGTGGTAAGGTGGTTAAGAAACAAAAGATCTTCAAGAATGTGATTAGATTTCATGCTGTGGATGCAGTTTTACCATATTTGGGGTTCTGTCTTGTCACATTTCAAGCCCTCTCTCTAATGATATATAAAATAATGTGTTTTAATTAGAAACTTGTTTTCTAGCTGCTATTATAGATTAATCTAGCTCTGTGTTTCCCATATGGCTAGCTTCCCCAACAGTATGTCCACCAACAGTCAATAACTGTCTGGTATATCAAATTATGCAGCGGTTCCTTTGGAACTGAATATTTAATAGGAAGTAACCATCAAAAACAAGGCCTCAAAATAGTCTTATTCCAGAATGGATCTTGCTTGTGATTCTCTTGAAAGCCTACACAAATGAGAGAGAATGTCACTGGCATTTTCATTTAAAGGAAATTAATTCACATTATTTGAAACTAATTATTTAAACTGAAGGGTGGGGGAAATGAAATGCTGTTTAGAATACCAACCTTTCTTGTAACTGCATTTTGTCTCATGACTGGAACGGTATGTTGCTTTGCAGAATCTGGTTTCTCAGAAGGGATGGTCTGTAAGTAAAATGGACACTCACTCAAAAACATCACACTTGTATCTGAAAATTTTGTACCTACTAGTGTTACAATTAATACATAAGATAACATTTCTCTCTCAGGAATAGTTTGTTCTTCCTTCTCCCTACCCTCTTCCCCTGCTTTACCCCCCCCCCCTCCCCGCTCCCCCCCGGCTTGTTCACTTTGGACATTTGACTGGACTCTCTTTATTGTTAGTTTCACTTGTTGGTCAGTTCCAGATCCTGTCTTCTGCAATAGAATGATACCATAATTCTTGTACTGAATGCTCTTACTCAGTGTTTTCAAGAGAGTGTTTACTAGTATTAGCTGCAGCGGAGCTGAAACACAATAGCCAGCACATAAATATATACATAGAAGGGAAGGAGAGGAAGAAAGAGGTGGGCCAAAATATGTTTAGTTTGCTTGGATCTGCCCAAAAGATCCTTCTAACATCGGTAAGAGAACAGAGAAACTTTTAATTATTAATAAAATAGTTGTTTACTAGAAAGCTCAGGACATGCTATTTAAATGGTGACTTCTCTCAGAAAACGGACATTAACTACCGTAATCAAAAAATATTTTAATTCAAGATCAGTGTCCCTCTAGCAGGGAATGGAAATAAGACCACTGAAGTAGGTTTTCTTATCTTTCATACTGTAACTTTTTTGGGAGGCAGAGACAACCAGTTCCTTGTTACAGTCAAAAAAGTGACAAAGCTGATGTGAGTGTGTGCCTAAAAATAAACACACACACACACACACCTCTGCTGTTACATCAAAATGGATTCCTTGGTTTGTTTCACACACAGTTTTGGGTTGACTTGTGAAACTTCAGGATAGATCACGGATTACATAGCTGCTCAAAAAATAAAGAAAAGAATAAACACTCTGCTCTCCAGTTGCTTTCTGTATGGGATCAGTGTCAAGCTATAAAGCTATAGTAGGTCTGGGATTTATTTTTGTTTTTGCAAAAGGGAGGAGGCTGGAGGTTGGGGAAGAGCTAGGAGAAGTAATTTGTTTTTGTGTATTTAACAGAAAAACTTCAGATTTTTACTACCACAGTTTGAGTCACTGTGTAGCTTCATTTTGTTACAGATGGAAATGTTTGAGATCTAGGTTGGTTGGCTTTTTTTTTTCTTCTTTTAAAATAACTGTTAGCATTATTGGTTGAAACTATACCATGACACTAGTCTAATCTGAATTTTCTTCACCCCATCCTTCAAATAGTGTCTAAAATTCCATTAGGCGACAGAAGTTACTTTAGTCTCAGTATTTACATCACAGATATCAACCACATACCTGTCAGCTGCAGTAATTTGGTTGATTCAGCATTGTAACTGTACCTTGGGTAACTGGTTCTGCTGCAGTGTTGGCTCACAGCCATCTCTTCACCATCTTATCCACCAGCACAACTTAAAGAAAATAAAGCGGCAGCTCTGACTATACAAAAAGCTTCAGTTGCTTTTTCCAGGCTATCTCATCCCAGTTTAAAGGCTAGGAACAAATTTTTGTCATATGGGGCTCACACTAAGAGTGTGGTGGAAGGGAAACAAAAATGGAAGGGTATAGTGGGGAAGAAGAAACTCATTGCTAACTGTCAGTGGTCACCTTAAGTCAACAGGATGATTCTTATCAGAAAAGTCTAATATGGTCTGAATTTTCAAAAGTAATGAGTGAGGTTTTTTGTTTTGGCACCCAATTTGAGAAACTTAAAAAAGGCCCTGCCTTCTTAGAAAGTGCTGGTCACCCATCTTTTGACAATCTGCCCCCTTTAAGGTGTCTTAGGTTGGGCATTCAAAATCATTAGTCATCCTCAAAAGTATAGGCATATGTTTTCAAAACTAAATTCAATAGATCTCTTGGCCTATATGGTGGCAAAAAAGAGCCATTTAAAGAAAATGGGTTAACTCTTCCTACTTCAGGTCAGGTCTCTTTCAACCTGCTCCTTTGAACTATTACATCTTTATTATGCTCAAGTGTCTTTCATTGACTTCTTCAGATTCACTTAAAGAAAAAAAGTGCTTTTGTGCTGACATGGAGTTTTGTCTGTACTTCAACACCACAGTGAATGCTCATGATGCACTTGTACAGCCCAAAATGAACACTGG